AAATAAGAAATCAAAGAAATATCAGGTGTTGAATGTCAGTTACTGTTCTGATTTCAGGATATTACATGATGTGATTATCTGCTCAGCTTAAAACCTCTTCTTCATGGGCAAAAGGAGAGGATAATCTTTCCATCAGGATTTAGTTTTTTAATTCTCATTGTCTTGACTGGCGTTCCTCATCAATCTCATTGTGAAAGTTTCTGAGTTATTTGACAGGAATTCTCCCCGAATTAACAAAATTCTTTAATAGACTTGACAGCAAAAAACAAGGGAACAGTCTAAAATGCTGGTCTGTGGTTGAATAAAAGAAATTCAAATAATAAATGCAAGATGGCTTGTAATGAAATTTTATTGGTTACAGTTGCTTACTTCAATAAACAACAATTTTCATATGCACAAGTGCCTTGCACACATATACATTATTCCTCAACAATAACAACAAAAAAAAGAAAAGAAAAGAAAAATCTGCAACACTTCATTGACAAGGCTTTACCACCCTTGGAAGCCATAGAAATAAAGCTAACATGCAGATCACATGTGCTCAGAACAGACATGAATTACGATTTCCACCTTCTGCTTATAAACCTGTGGTAACAATCAAATTAACCACAACAGTGTATCAGAGATGACAACACAATTCTATCTAAGATATCCTATGATTTTGGAATTACAATTGCCACTATTGCTCAACATGGGCCCGGAATAAACTAAATCACATGAGTGGGAGATTTCCAAGTACAGTCAGTGTGGGCAGGGCATTCACCCAAACATTTTACTAATGAGTAGGTACACAGACCATTTTTCCAAATGAAAAGTCACACAAAGAAGTCTATTTATCCCAGTGCTGAGACATCTCCCTGAATTCAGGACAACTTTGTATGAATGGAAATGACTTGCTTTTTGAATACATGTCTGTGCCACATCACTGCTAGTTGGTGGCAGCTTGCTGCTGAAGAGTAGGCTGTGTGGATGTGACAGGACCAGGTGAGGATGAAGTCTGTTGCTGTGCAATTGGGGATGAAGCTCCGCTCAATCGTGATGAGGCTTCTGCTGCTGCCATATCTTTTGTGTGTTTCTCCACCTAGGCAAATTTCAAAGATTAGAGGTTTGCCAATGCCAGAATGTACTCCTCAGACAATCATTTGGTATTTTCCACTCACCACTTTCCGAATGTGCAAATAAGCCTTACTATCTGTGGCACCTTTCACATTTTCTGCTGTGTATGGTGGTGAAATGGTCACAGTGTTCCAAACAACAATATTTGGCCCTTGCCATGTGGCTTCATTAATACTATAAAGGGGGCAAATAGAATAGATTAGGAATACAGCACAAGAAAATCATCAGTTTATTTAATGGTCTTATGTTGAATGTAATACTTACGTCTTAGTTATTGTGAGGAATAATTTTTGTCCTTCAGGTGATACGCCAGCTGCAAGGGCTGTGACCAGCCTCTTTTTTTCTTCTATTTGATTTCGTACTCGGGTGTTTAGCTGTTGGAGAATTAAACCATTCAATCCAATTCTCTGGGATATCCCAAGAATTAAAAATATGATGTCAATAAAAAATTTACCCTTTGAAGATTCAAAGATTGAGGAGGTTCCAGTGGAGCAGTTGCTTCTCTTTTGACCTGGACATCACTGACCATTGATAGATTTACCATATGCACATCATTGCGAGATGGTCGACCACTTGAGGCAGGGCATTCTGATCAATGTTAAGGACGCACAACAAGACTGAAAATAACTTATTAACTAATAGATTGCAGGAGTGAAAGACTGCAGGTAGACAGAGGAGATGATCATTAATAAAGACAGACATTCCAACAAGAATCATTTGATCAACACACTCATTTACACAAGATGGCAGCAATTGCTACATACATTGCCTATCAGTAAATTTTGGACAGTTGCAGGACATTACTAAATTGCTTTGAAGCGGCAGTAAATAAAACAACTGAACACATGGAATCAAATTTGAAGTCTATGAAATATTTCACACGACAGTATGATTGTCCCAACAAAACTTAACCTTATATGACTCCTAACCTCAAAATCTCCATGAGATCCAATACTGTCATCAGAACAGTGTAACATTGCTAAATATAGTATAAGCTGCCACAGGGAAAGAAAACGCAATGTTCCATGCAGTACCTCATTCTTTAACACACAAGATATGTAGCTAAAATGCTAATGTCAACGGGTGCGCTCCGCTGACGGACATGTATGTAAATAACAGACAGAACAACCTTTGCAACTGAATAAAGGATACTCAAAATCAGCATTTTGGTCTGTGGATCGAATGCAAGGACTTCTCCTTCGATCTCTTTTTCATAGCAAGTTTTACAGGCGACGACACTTCCAATATTAAAACACTCACTCACTCCAGCCATTTTCAAAACAGAGCCTTCGCCTTCTTGGCTGGCCTCCGGAAAGCTCCGACCCGACCGCTCCGACGTGAACCCCCGAATCCCCCGTGTAGCGGTCGGCGGAACAAAACACGGGGGAGAACTGTTCAACTTTCGCGTATGAGAAACTTTGGAGGACATGCGAGAGACTGTGAGAGTAAGTCGGGTTGCCTACTTTATCGTCTCCGTAAGGGATGGTTTTTCACGGAGAGGGATCACGGCTCATGCAAGACAAAGGTGGTGGCTTATCCACACAGAGGCGAGGCGCCTCGTTCGAAACAAGCGAAAGAGCAAAATTGTGGCGGGGAGCTGATTGATGACTCTGCGCTCGCTTTATGAATGGAGGGCGCCTGGCGCCAGGTCCTGCCGGAGCCAGGTCGTGCCGGAAGGGGATGACGCCCTCCTCCTAGTTCCGGGGGCGGCCGCTCTGCTGCGCTGGGCGTGGCGGGGGTCCAGTTGTGCATGGCCGGGGCCAGCACCTCCCTGCCGCCCCTCCGCCACGCACCGCCACGCCCCAACACGGCGGGGCTGCGTCGATACTCGACCGCCAAAATACGCGTGCCGCCGCCACCACCCCGCCGACACCCTCCCCCTCCCCCAGCACCGGCGCCACCCCCACCCCGGCCCGGCCGGCCGCGGCAGCCGCGGCCCCGGGGCCAGGCAGGGGCGCCGTCCTCCCTCAGTTGGCGTCGAGCGGGTTGCCGAGCTGCACGTCCAGTCAGCGGCCGCCGAGGCGCTTCCGATACGCGGACCGGACGGGGACGGGCCGACTCTCTCTGAGTGCCTCTGTCTCTCTCGCACTCTCGCAGGGCCCCATGGCGCTCGCGCCGCGGCGGTGCGGGGCGCGATCGTAGTGCGTGTGCGTGCGTGTGCGTGCGTGTGCGTCGTGTGCATGCGTGTGCGTCAGCAGCGGTCCGCACCGCAGCGGGCCCCGCCGCCCCCGCCCCGCTGAGGCGCGCCGAGGAGCTGCCCTGCCCCCGGGGCCGCTGACCAGTCTCCAGCCGTCGACGAGCACGTTCTCGAGGTGGGTGTGACTGAGAGCGCGGCGCGCGCGGGGCCGCCGCCGAGGGGGTCCGTCCGGGAAGCACGTGGGCCACGCCACGAGGAGGTGCGGCCGCCGCTCACTCCGCGGCCCACTCCATTGATCCGGAGAGGGCCGTGTTTAAATAACCGCCTCCCCCGCCTTAATGATGTTCCGCACCACCAGGATAACCCCCTTTGCGGCCCTCCGCGACACAGTCGTTAACCCCGTCGGCAAGACATCCCGGAGGAGGACGGGGGAAGGTCGAGAGCAGAGGGAGGCTTCCAATCCCGCGGCGCCCCGCGGCTCCGCGCGCACGGCCGCGGCGGCCCCCCCACGTGGTCTCGCTGGGGCCGCCGTCCTCTCCCCGTCCGCCCAGCAGCGGTAAAAGAGAACTTTACTACCTTGCGCGAGGGGTAATGATTTACACCACCCCTATCTCTCCTTCTCTCGCCATCTCGCACCCCCCCCCCTACCTCTCCCTCTTTTCTGCCGGCGAGACTTCCGCTTCCTTCTGCCCTCGTGCCCCCCATGGTTGCGGTGAGCACCTACCTACCTACGTACCTACCTACCTACGTACGTACCTACCTACCTACCTACCTACCTACCTACCTACCTACCTACCTACCTACCTACCTACCTACCTACCTACCTACCTACCTACCTACCTACCTGCGATTTTCTCAGACTCTTCGGCAAATTACGGGAGCTCGGCGCCTGCGAGACTCGGGATAGGCCATCCCGCAATACACGCACGCGCTGCAGGCAGGGTGTTGCCTACCTCGCAGGCGCTCTGCGCGCTAGCATCGGCTAAACTTGGCAGTTTCGCCACGACGAATGACGGACGTCCTTTCTGGATGATTTCTTATTCTGCTATCCCCAGCTGCCCACCCGTCGTCCGTCCGCTGTCCGCCCGCTGCCCACCGCTGTCAGCTTCTATCCACCCCTTCTTGTCCGCCTCTGCCCGCCGCTGCCCGCCCGCAGTCCGACGGCTAACGAGCCCACACTTCCACTCGCCGCTTTTAAAGCAAATCGACGCGCCTCACGCACGTTGTCGGCAGTGTCGGCGACGCTCCGCCACCGCGACGCGGCCACACAGAGGCACCCTCTCTCAGCAGGCGTGGCCCGCGCGCAAAAGCCGCCGCCGCGTCGCGCCCGGTTATAGTTATCGCCGAGATCGATCCCCAAAACGAGCTTCCTCCTCGTCGCACCCGACGGGTCACACCAGCCGACTATCTCGCCGACCCATCCGGCCGATCGCGAAGCACGTCCGATTAACAGCACCGATTACTTTGGCCCCCCTCAGCCCGCCCCCTCCGCTCCGCGCTGTTGTGTGTGCTGGCCGAGCAAAACTCCCATCAAAGGAGCCGGCCGGGGAGCGGGCACACCGAGCGGGAGCGGGCACACCGAGCTCAGCAGGCGCCGTCGGCGTCATTACCGGTCCATACGCTGATCGGCAGTGTCAACAGACCCGCTGTACGCACACAACATTCTCCATGAAAGACCCCGCCGCGCTGCTGCTGCCGCTGCTTCGGCCGGTGTGACTTTATGTCTTTTTGGCAGCACAAGAGCGCGAGCGTTGCTCGGCCGCCTGCTCGGGGCGATACGCCCCCTCACCCCCCCACCCCTTCCTCTTTCCCTCCTGGTTCGCCTGTTTTATATTCTTCTCCCTCATTTTCTGCGGCGCTGGCGCGGCCCTGGTGGGTGACTTTGCGACACGCCCTCTGCGCCCCGCGCACCGCCGCACGCACAAAGGTGGCCCCCGCGGCCGGCGAGCGGCGGCGGCGTTCGTGAAAAGGGAGGGGAAAAATATACTGTAAAAGAAAAGCTGGGCGCCGGCATTTACTTTCAGAGGGGTGTGTGTGTGTGTAGGTGGTTGGGGGTGGTGTAAGAGTTGGGGGAGTTCTTGTTCCCGGGCTCCACACGCACAGGCCACCGGGAGAGGGTGGGCAAATGGGAAGCGGGGGAGGGGAGGGAGAGGGGTGGGAAGGGAGGGGACAGGAAGGATCCACAAGTTTTACAGCTGGAGGACAAAGTGTGTGCCGCGTTCAGGAACCAGCCATGGGCGAGGCCATAGGGGCAACGAACCTCTGCGCACCATTTCTCTCGCTCCCCCTCCCCTCCCCCCTCTCTCTGTCTCTCTCTGTCTGTCTGTCTGTCTCTCTCTCTCTCTCTCTCTCTCTCTCTCTCTCTCTCTCTCTCTCTCTCTCTCTCCTCCCTCGGCAGCCGCCGTGCCGCGCATGCGGGGAGTACATT